CCCCCCCCCCCCCCCCCTCCCCCCGCCTCTCCGTCCCTCCCGTTTCAAGACCTTATCCCATACGCGCCTAGATCTCGCATACGAACCCCCGAAAGAAATAGGCAAATTTCTTTGGCAAAAAATTATTTCACGAACCAGATAAAATAGAAAGCTGAAACTTTTGCAGGGAAATTTTCTGTGCATGTATGAACTAAAGATTTTGATGTGACTGTATGTGAGGTATAAGCATTCACGATAGCTGAATTTGTCCATACTAAAGATGTATGAACAAATTCAGCTATCGTGAATGCTTATACCTCATGTACAATCACGTCAAAGTTCGCAGTTGGCGCTGTGCTAACTCGGAAAAACTGGTCGAAAAATAGTAGCTGAAATTTTGTCAAAATATTTACCATTCATATCGGAGACTGTATGCTTAATCTGAGCTTTGATTTGCGTTTGCGCCAAGTCTAAGGCAATTCAAAGATATTTTTAGTGAAGTAGCTATTTCGCTTAACAGGCAGGCGGCGAAACCGACATGTGTGGTTTTAATTCAGCTTAGAGGTGAAATTCCATGCAAGCAGACATGACAAATACTCAATTTTATCACAAACTCAAAAGCGAGTGCTTTTGCAGATTTCGTAATCCTCTTTTGATTTCTTTCAAACTTGTATTTTTTCAGTGAACGAGCATTCATCGGAAAAACGACCATACTTAATCCAAAAAACTGATAATCATGCACGCTGGAGGTCCATGCGGTCTCACAATGTACCATCTTCCCAGCCGACCCCCCTTCTCCTTACACGCGGGAAGAGGCCATAAAGCAGCCAATATGAACCTAAGTGTTAAATTACGCCGCAGGAACCACTCCTGCTGTTAGCGATCTGCAAGCTTAGCACAAAAACGCATGATCGCATCGGCAAACCTGGAGCTTCGCAGGCTGGATTTTTCTCTGGAAGATTCGAAACAAAGAGTTTAAGAGTAGATGTCACTTATCTTTTTGATCAACTGTCAGCTGCCTTTCTATTATAAGTAAAAAGACTGAGGTTTTAAAAGACTAAGATTTTAAAAACTGAGCAGTATGCTTATTGAGAACAAGGCTAATAAGCAGAGGAAATAACCCATCTGACAACTCTGGTACCACGATACTCGGCATCCGTATTTAAGCGGGTAAGAAGTGAGAGAAGTACCTCACTTGTCGACCAGGTGATTACTTTTCTCACCTGTTATCCACTATATCCATAATGATAAGCAGGTGGGAAAAGTATCTCATTTAAGGGATTTAGTGTCACCATGCTCGGTATCTGCATTTCAGAAAAACACACGTGACAAAAGTACTTTATCTGGTACCACGTCAGCAGTTGTAGTAGTGAATATAAGCGAATAAATACTGTACACGGAAACAAAATAGCTGGAGACCGGTACATACTTCGCTTTGAATTAAAATTCCCTTCCCAAAATGCCTTTACAAGCGATCGCCACAACTGCCGTTCTCCGCTACACAACAATCGAAGAAGCGCAAAGACACCACAGATCCAAAAGCAAACAAACCCCAACACCCCCAGAAGCAAAACAACAATCGGCAGCGCACCAGAAACACAACATCATTCAAACCTCAGTCTCTCGAAAAACAAATCGGACTTAGGCCAGGGGCCAAAAAGTTCCTCCTGACCCGACACCAAATTCAAGCCTGTCCACTACTAATTGCATAATCAGCATAATGAGGAAAGTACAGCAGTTTCTACGACAGATGTAAAGTAAAAGGCACAGATACATAGAACAGTGATAGAACGAATAACTTTATTATGCAATCAGTTCTAAGAATTTACTGATACAATAATTTTCATTGGCAGCTGTACGCAACTGATAAAGAACTTAGAAGGCAAGCATCTGTGATGATACTGTTGAGTACATGTGCAGTTCAAATAGTAATGTGCATTCTTCATATCTGTGGCGGTATTTTCACTCTAGTGAACTCAACCATCGGACCAGCGGTCGATAAGGTTGGCAACTATTCATTTTCCAGTTTTCACATATAGAATTCACAATATACTCCTAATTTATTAAAAAAGGGTTTATTCTGCCTCGAAGGCTTCGTATCATTTGCAAAAGTGGTTGTTTCCGCGATTCCGCATCAAATAAATTAGGCGTCTTGAGGCCCTCGTCCGTGATGGATTTTCCTCATGCTCTTTTGCCTCCACAAATTAGATGTTAATACATGAACAAAAAACATCATTTAGTTAATTGGAGCGGTGTTCATTAGTTGCAATGACATATTCTACAACCACGTTTTATTCATGGCAATAAATCGCTTTGCGATTATTTTCTCGTTCAAGGATCTGGAATCTTTTCTTCAAGGTTATCCATGTATCGTGAGTTATAATTTTGACTGAAGTTTTGTTCGAGAAAAATACATTTAAACTGAAACACCTTGATAGAAGGGATTCTACCACCTATTGGCCTCAGTTTGCTTATGTGCAACAGTAAAACTTTAATAAAATATAAGGACGTAATGGGTGAAAATATGTGCGTGGTAATCGAGATGTTACCAGTAACGTTATGTAATGAACGTGGTTTTGTCTATAAGACTAAAAGTAATAACTCGATACTGCCTCTGAAATGTTTGATAAAAAGTGTGTGCAATACTGTGTGAAAGTTTAATGAAATGAGACAGTGTCTGTAAATCTTTTGACAATAATGATGTAGCTGATTAGTTTTCAAAGTTAATGTGCGCAGGAATAGCGTGTGTGATATGATGAAGCGAAACTGTGATGAGTTCTATTATACTTATTTTTTATACCCAGAGGAGGACATTAGATCGTAGTTGAGTGGCAGTGAATACGAATGAGCTTTTTCTTGTGAGTACTGTTTTACAAAAAGGAGTTTATGTCTTAGTGTAATGGCATCAGTTACACGATGAATGAGCAACAATCAACGGCCCTAAAACTCGTATCAGCTACAACTTCGAACAATAGAAAAGTTTAAAACTGACTAGCGAGAAGAGGGCTAGACGTAGTAACAAATAACGTGATGAACTTTATGACTGTGACGAGGTTGAGATCGAATAAGACGAATTGTAGAATTGTGTGTGTGTGTGTCTGTGTATCCGTGTATCTGTGTGTGTGAATTCAAGCCAGTGTGTAGAAAATAAGTCACCAGTGTTTAGAAGATAAGTAGTCGACAACGTGTAGAAAACTTGCCAGCCAGAAGTGATGATGGGGCCTTTTTTTAGGGATATTAAAATAAGCGCGGACCCATTGGAGAACTGGTCTAAAGATTGAGGATAGGGTTTAGGTGCATAAGAACAAGTTTTTGACTTGATTTAACAGTTAAAGCTGCCAACAAAATTTGGAAAGAGGATGATTTATGGATTTTTAAGTTCATTAATTAAGGCAGCTGTTTGGGACATACAAACAAAACCCAGGCTGGAATGCACCAGGCGAGCCGGTGCGATCATGCGTTTTTGCACCAGACTTGAAATGATTAGGTTAACTGCAT